GTTATGGGAAAGCGACTCAGTGTATGGTTTGATCAAAGTGACTGCTATACCACAGAGAAGAGATATACAGAGAGGAAACATGCGGCAAATAGTGTCACGCCGATATACTCAGTCTATTAACTATAGAAAATTATATTAATTCACTATTTTATTAAATTTTGACCATGCAAAGGAAAAAAACTATACGTATTATAGAAGTATTCATGTTTTTTTTACGCGAGAGTTATATTTTGAGGAATTTATATCATTCGCTGCTTTGTTTTTTATACACAGGCATCTGAAATTCCCAGCCAGTACTTTTCACGATTTTAATGAGTAGATAGGGAAAAAACAAACTTTTGCAAAATAAAATGTTATGTTAACACTTTTAATAAAAAGAAATCAATAAAAGTGATCGCGCTTACCGTTATTCTACAATAATTTATTGAACAAAATTTCCATGGGTATCTCATTTTTTTAAAAAAGCGATTTTCACCTTTCGAACCATAGAGATTATGTTTCGAACGGCGTTTTCCCTATCTTTTGCTATGAAATTTCAGGGACGGCACTGGCTGGAAGATTTTGCGTGGCGCGTGGAACCTGCGTGGAACGCGTGACACAAAAATTCAGGTTATCGAGTGTCAGTTTCCTCTCTGTATATATCTTCTCTGTGGCTATACTGTACATATTCATGTATAGCAGGATGGGTCGTGAAATTTTTCCAATGACCTACGATGGGCTTGGAAATTTTTTAGGTTCTGAGGATGGGTTCTTTTTAGAAAACCTATTTTCCCCTCCAGCCCACCCTGGCAGTTACTTTATGACCGGGGTCCCTGACGTAATACAAAAAATTGCAGAAATTAACGGCACTATTAAAAATGGGCGGATTTATAATTAAATGAGAAGAGATATGTCTTTCAGTACTTTGAGAGATATGTCTATCAGATTCGATTAAACTGTCAATAAGGTGTGCGTTTCGGAAGCTTACATTTACATAACAATTAACTGTGACTATACTCTATAGTTTTATAGTTAATTTGAACACACGAGCCGCGGGTTTCTCCGAGAAAGTAATTTACTCGAGTGGATTTCCGCTTCAGACTGAATGTGGGCTTTTCCCTGCACAGATTTAGCGTAACAATATTATAATGGAGAATTATGGCAGATCACTTTAAGGCAGTGAACTCAATTTATTTTACTTTACCATAACAAAGACATGGAATTCACTGCTTTAAGGTAGCCCACATTCAAGAACATGTACTACCTCTGTATGATCTATAACCATGCTTAACTCAGCAGTGAGTTCTGTACAACATCAGATCACTTTAAGGTAGCCCACATTCAAGAACATGTACTACCTCTGTATGATCTAACCATGTTTAACTCAGCAGTGAGTTCTGTACAACATCAGATCACTTTAAGGTAGCCCACATTCAAGAACATGTACTACCTCTGTATGATCTAACCATGCTTAACTCAGCAGTGAGTTCTGTACAACATCAGATCACTTTAAGGTAGCCCACATTAATCAAGAACATGTACTACATCTGTATGATCTATAACCATGCTTAACTCAGCAGTGAGTTCTGTACAACATCAGATCACTTTAAGGTAGCTCACATTCAAGAACATGTACTACCTCTGTATGATCTAACCATGTTTAACTCAGCAGTGAGTTCTGTACAACATCAGATCAATTTAAGGTAGCCCACATTCAAGAACATGCACTACCTCTGTATGATCTAAACCATGCTTAACTCAGCAGTGAGTTCTGTACAACATCAGATCACTTTAAGGTAGCCCACATTCAAGAATATGTACTACCTTTGTATGATCTAACCATGCTTAACTCAGCAGTGAGTTCTAGATCTGTACAACATCAGATCACTTTAAGGTAGCCCACATTCAAGAACATGTACTACCTTGACATGATCTAACCATGCTTAACTCAACAGTGAGTTCTGTACAACATCAGATCACTTTAAGGTAGCCCACATTCAAGAACATGTACTACCTCTGTATGATCTAACCACGCTTAACTCAGTAGTGAGTTCTGTACAACACCAGATCGCTTTAAGGTAGCCCACATTCAAGAACATGTACTACCTCTGTATGATCTAACCATGCTTAACTCAGCAGTGAGTTCTGTACAACATCAGATCACTTTAAGGTAGCTCACATTCAAGAACATGTACTACATCTGCATGATCTATAACCATGCTTAACTCAGCAGTGAGTTTTGTACAACATCAGATCACTTTAAGGTAGCCCACATTAATCAAGAACATGTACTACCTCTGTATGATCTAACCATGCTTAACTCAGCAGTGAGTTTTGTACAACATCAGATCACTTTAAGGTAGCCCACATTCAAGAACATGTACTACCTCTGTATGATCTAACCATGCTTAACTCAGCAATGAGTTCTGTACAACATCAGATCTCTTTAATAAGGTAGCTCATAGTCAAGAACATGTACTACCTCTGTATGATCTAACCATGCTTAACTCAGCAGTGAGTTCTGTACAACATCAGATCGCTTTAAGGTACCCCACATTCAAGAACATGTACTACCTCTGTATGATCTAACCATGCTTAACTCAGCAGTGAGTTCTGTACAACATCAGATCACTTTAAGATAGCCCACATTCAAGAACATGTACTACATCTGTATGATCTATAACCATGCTTAACTCAGCAGTGAGTTTTGTACAACATCAGATCACTTTAAGGTAGCCCACATTAATCAAGAACATGTACTACATCTGTATGATCTATAACCATGCTTAACTCAGCAGTGAGTTCTGTACAACATCAGATCACTTTAAGGTAGCTCACATTCAAGAACATGTACTACCTCTGTATGATCTAACCACGCTTAACTCAGCAGTGAGTTCTGTACAACATCAGATCACTTTAGGGTAGCTCACATTCAAGAACATGAACTACCTCTGGATGATCTAACCATGCTTAACTCAGCAGTGAGTTCTGTACAACATCAGATCACTTTAAGGTAGCTCACATTCAAGAACATGAACTACCTCTGTATGATCTAACCATGCTTAACTCAGCAGTGAGTTCTGTACAACATCAGATCACTTTAAGGTAGCCCACATTCAAGAACATGTACAACCTCTGTATGATCTAACCATGCTTAACTCAACAGTGAGTTCTGTACAACATCAGATCACTTTAAGGTAGCCCACATTCAAGAACATGTACTACCTCTGTATGATCTAACCATGCTTAACTCAGCAGTGAGTTCTGTACAACATCAGATCACTTTAAGGTAGCTCACATTCAAGAACATGTACTACCTCTGGATGATCTAACCATGCTTAACCTCAGCAGTGAGTTCTGTACAACATCAGATCACTTTAAGGTAGCTCACATTCAAGAACATGTACTACCTCTGGATGATCTAACCATGCTTAACTCAGCAGTCAGCAGTGAGTTCTGTACAACATCAGATCACTTTAGGGTAGCTCACATTCAAGAACATGTACTGCCTCTGCATGATATTGATCTAACCATGCTTAACTCAGCAGTGAGTTCTGTACAACATCAGATCACTTTAAGGTTGCTCACATTCAAGAACATGTACTACCTCTGCATGATCTAACCATACGTAACTCAGCAGTGAGTTATGTACAACATCAGATCACTTTAAGGTTGCTCACATTCAAGAACATGTACTGCCATCAGTTCTGTACAACGTATGTATGGTAGCCCACATTTACAGGAATGCTCCTCTACTTGATCTAACCACGATTAAAGAGAGTATCTGATAGAGCGTTTATCCTTTTTAGTTACAGATCTGAATCCTGAAACATCACCAGATAATTTATTTGATGTTCTATCATTATGTAATGATGTGAATGATTCATGGAAGGCAATACTTGGTCATTGTATTGCTTTGAGGCGACCGCTCTTTGCCGTCCTTGCTGCCTGTTATAAGGTAATGTGAGAATTCACCCATTGAGCGTCAGCACTTTCTAGTTGTTTTTCTTTACGTGAAACATGATCCGAACCACCACCCTCTTGTATGTTGTTTAACAGGAGGCGAAAGCAGTAGATTGTATATGTGCATGGCTTTGTTCTATCCATGATAAAGAAATATTCCATTCAGCATTGGAAAACATATCAGGTATGTGTACATTATCGTTTCCAGGGCTTCACGGCTGTCTGTGTTGGTATGTGTGTTGATACTATTTGCTACTGTAGTTGACAATAAATTTCAAATTGAAAAAAAAAAAGATTTGATACTACAGGTTTCCTCCTGTTGTAACGCTGTATCAGTAAGGGATGACCCTTTCGTGACCTCTATAGGGAGTACAGTTTAGGACTAATAGTGCTATCCAATGTAAAGTTAGTTTAGTTTTGTTTAGATATATGTAGCAACATACGATACTGGACCTCTAGAGGGAACAGTTACAGTTTGGAACTGATAGAGCTATCCAGTATGAATAAAGTTAGTTTAGTTTAGGTTTCCTCCTGTGGTAACACTGGATCAATAAGAGATTATGTCCTAACTGGACCCCCAAGGAGAACAGTTTAGAACTTATGGAGGTATCCAGTATAGATAAAGTTAGTTTAGGTTTCCTCCTGTAGTAACACTGGATCAATAAGGGGTGATATCCTTACTGGATCTCCAGGAAGAACAGTTTAGAACTGATAGAGCTATCCAGTATGAATAAAGTTTAGTTTTAATGTTACAAAACCTGTCTTCTGTCTAGATATTCAATGGCACAAATGGACATTGGACAATCTTCTCACTCTTATTCTAACAATTTCCAAATACGGCGGGGAGTACGTTCACAGTTTGACAAGAGCTTTTTATTTATTTGATCCAGTGAGTATTTTTTCCCAGTTGGTTCTTTCGAATTGGATGCGTTATTGCCCATTTTGTGTGTGTTTACACTAAGTAGGATGAATGATCTGTGATATAAATCAGGTCAATATTTTGTGTGTGTTTTACAGGACAATATGCTGCTTCCATTCATTCAATTTTACGAAGTATTTTCAATCCATATGGACTTCGAAGCTGCTGGAACACAACTGTCTGACTTTGTCCAACGACATAAATCGGTATGTGTATTTTGTGATTTCATGGTAATATATCACGCACAAGAACTAATTTTATTTATACAGGATAGCTCTATCAGTTGTAAACTGTTCTCCCTAGAGGTCCAATAAGGATCATCTCTTATTGATCCAGTGTTACTACAGGAGGAAACCTAAACTAAACTAACTTTACTTATACTGGATAGCTCTATCAGTTCTGAACTGTTCTTCCTAGAGGTCCAGTAAGGATCATCTCTTATTGATCCAGTGTTACTACAGGAGGAAACCTAAACTAAACTAACTTTACTTATACTGGATAGCTCTATCAGTTCTAAAGTGTTCTCCCTAGAGGTCCAGTAAGAACCATATCTTATTGATCCAGTGTTACTACAGGAGTAAACCTAAACTAAACTAACTTTATTTATACTGGATAGCTCTATCAGTTCTGAACTGTTCTCCCTAGAGGTCCAATAAGGATCATCTCTTATCGATCCAGTGTTACTAAGAAGGAAACCTAAACTAACCTCATTTATACTGTATAGCTCTATCAGTTCTGAACTGTTCTCCCTAGAGGTCCAGTAACAGCTATCCCTTATTGATCCAGTGTTACTACAGGAGGAAACCTAAGCTTGTTTTATTTTGACTATATATGGCCCTTTCAGTTCTAAACTGTTCTCCATAGAGACCCAGCTAGTGCCATCCCTAATTGATCCAGTACTACTACAGAAATAAACCTATATAGATAGCTCATTTAGTTAGTACAATTTTCTCTATAATAAAGGGCTTTCAATTATTGTCCCTTGCCCCCTTTTCATACGAAGATAGAAAATGTATGTATTTAAACAGCATGTAGTTATCGTTCGTGTTGGTGGTGTAAAACGCGCAAGCCTCATTTCGTTCTCCCATTTTTCAGGTCTCAGTCAACGACAGCCTGAGACGACAGATAGTTGTAGGAGATTTAACTTGGTGTGAACGGGTGTCGAGTGGCGTGGTCCAGAATATGTTGCGGTCATCTCAGACGATGTATATGCAAGTACAGCTCTTGAAATTATTGTGTTATAGTAAATTTGGAAATGGATTTAGTATAATGGGTGAGTGTTTGAAGTTCTCCTTGTCTGGGATGGATCCAGCATGATCTGGTAGGGGAGTTCTGTCATGTGTGCCGCCCACCCATCAACATACTGTATTTGAATTGTAATTGTTGTTCACAGTTCGCTTATCATCATGTTATTACTCGAATTACTGTATCTCATTTTGTTTCTATTATTTTTTTCTTTATCATGAAAAATAACACCATCCCCCTGCACCCCCTTTGCCCAGGGCTAGGGGAGTGCCCCCCCCAGTATTCATCCCTGCTCCTTGTATTTTCAGGTAGTTGTATCCCTTTACTGGGTGGCACTCCCCCTAGCTCTGGGCAGGGGGGTGTGCTATTTTTCATGATAAAAAAAAATAATAGAGACAAAATCAGATACAGTAATTTGAGCATCTGTGTTAGTTAAGGCTGGTTTATGAAGGATTTGTAAGAAATGTTTGAGAGAACTAATTCAGTTTTTAACTGACTTCATTGAAGTCGAACTGACTTAATGTTAAACACTGAGTCAGTTACCTCAAGAATCTGACAAATCCTTCATAAACCAGCAGGAAGAATTTACAGAAAACTTAGAATTCACCGATGCAAAATTCCTACTGTGATCACAGAAATTTTGATAGTGTAAACCTGCCTTTAGTCAATGTCCGAGTAATTGAACACTTGAGCGGACATTGTCAGACCCAGGGGAGATTGTTATAATCCACACTGCTCGCAAACACGTACGAGTTACATAGAAGACATTCCCTTGCAGTTCCAGATTTCAAGAAACTGTACAAGATCTGTCAAATTCTCGAAGAAGGTGCTGTGTTTGCTCAGTGTTTGGATCTCGCATCAGACCAGACGGAAGTGTCTAGGATTATGGAAGAGTTGATGCAACGTCAACAGTTTACGCAAGCGAGGGAGTACGCCACGCTCGTAGGGATATCTAGTGATAAAGTTAGCATTATGCAGGTATGATAGGATATCTAGTGATAAGTTAGCATTATGCAGGTATGATAGGATATCTAGTGATAAAGTTAGCATTATGCAGGTATGATAGGATATCTAGTGATAAGTTAGCATTATGCAGGTATGATAGGATATCTAGTGATAAAGTTAGCATTATGCAGGTATGATAGGATATCTAGTGATAAGTTAGCATTATGCAGGTATGATAGGATATCTAGTGATAAAGTTAGCATTATGCAGGTATGATAGGATATCTAGTGATAAGTTAGCATTATGCAGGTATGATAGGATATCTAGTGATAAAGTTAGCATTATGCAGGTATGATAGGATATCTAGTGATAAGTTAGCATTATGCAGGTATGATAGGATATCTAGTGATAAAGTTAGCATTATGCAGGTATGATAGGATATCTAGTGATAAGTTAGCATTATGCAGGTATGATAGGATATCTAGTGATAAAGTTAGCATTATGCAGGTATGATAGGATATCTAGTGATAAGTTAGCATTATGCAGGTATGATAGGATATCTAGTGATAAAGTTAGCATTATGCAGGTATGATAGGATATCTAGTGATAAGTTAGCATTATGCAGGTATGATAGGATATCTAGTGATAAAGTTAGCATTATGCAGGTATGATAGGATATCTAGTGATAAGTTAGCATTATGCAGGTATGATAGGATATCTAGTGATAAAGTTAGCATTATGCAGGTATGATAGGATATCCAGTGATAAAGTTAGCATTATGCAGGTATGATATACACAGTTTGTCAACAAGATGTGTTCGCACTGTTTCTGCCTAGTTGTTGACAAGTCTGGAACGACTCTGGGCGAACTCCATTTTCAAAAGCCATGAGAACTCCGTTTTCAGATGCCAAAACAACGTTTTCAAAAGCCAGAACGTCCTTTTCAAATGCCAAAACTCCATTTTCAAATGCCAAAACGCCGTTTTCAAATGTCAGAACTCAATTTTCAAATGCCACAACTCGGTTTTCAAATGCCAGAACTCCCTTTTCAAATGCCAAAACTCCGTTTTCAAATGTCAGAACTCAGTTTTCAAATGTCAGAACTTCGTTTTCAAAAGCCAGAACTCCATTTTCAAATGCCAAAACTCCGTTTTCAAATGCCAGAACTCAGTTTTAAAATGTCAGAACTTTGTTTTCAAAAGCCAGAACTCCATTTTCAAATGCCAAAACTCCGTTTTCAAATGCCAGAACTCAGTTTTCAAATGCCAGAACTTAGTTTTCAAATGCCAGAACTCCCTTTTCAAATGCCAAAACGCCGTTTTCAAATGCCAGAACTCAGTTTTAAAATGCCAAAACAACGTTTTCAAATGCCAGAACGTCCTTTTCAAATGCCAAAACGCCGTTTTCAAATGCCAAAACTCAGTTTTCAAATGCCAAAACCCAGTTTTCAAATGCCAAAACCCAGTTTTCAAATGCCAAAACTCAGTTTTCAAATGCCAAAACTCCGTTTTCAAATGCCAGAACTCAGTTTTCAAATGCCAGAACTCGGTTTTCAAATGCCAAAACAACGTTGTTATAATCTTGTAACAAGGTTGATGAGGCCAATAGACTCGCGACAAGTTTGTTTCAACAAATCTGATATTGTCTGCACGTAACAAATTGTTAACAAGTTGATGAGAACAAGGCTCGTAGCAATTTTTACGAACAGCCTGCATTGGTCTTATTGGAACAACTTGCGGCAAGTCTGTTAATTCTGTATTTCTGTTCCTATTCTCTTCCGCAGATTATTCATAAGAAGGAAAACATTCAAGCTTCGCGACTCTGGGAGAATGAACGAGAGCGCGTTGCATTTTGGGAAAATTGTGATCGATATTTTGAGGAAGAAGAGTGTACTACTGCTGGCCAATTCTTTGAGGTGATTAATGTCGCTCGTGTTCATTTCGCAATCAAATTCAAGCTGAACGAATGAGAGGGTCATGACCCTTGCTAGACGTTTAGAACAGTTTAGAACTGGTAGAGCTACCCCTATGTCTATTTTAATCAGTTTGAAATAATTTGATTTCCATGCTTTATTTTTTCAGGACGAAGCTTGTCGTAGTTTTGTGTCAAACCGCGAGAAAGCGACATTATTATGCTTTGCAGTAAAATGGTTCTCAGGAAAACGCCTGAGGGGTGAAGCTGTGACGAAGTCGTCAGACGAGCTGGCTGGGCTGGAGAGTCAAATGTGGTTGTGCATTATTAACGACAGGATACATTCAACTGACGAGGTAGGCTCAGTAGCTCGAGCCGAAGGTGAGAGTTTGTATATCCGCGATACAACACGTACGCGAATGTTGTAAATGGTTTGTGAAACGTCTTGATGCGAACATTCGTATTCTTCAACAATTTAAAATAAATGAATGATATTTGGTGAGAAAATTAAACTTAAAGTTTATGTAAATCAGCATGATTTTGTATCAGATATACAAACTCCTTCACGCTCATGATTTCTTTTGTGTTTTCTTCGTGAATTATTAATGAGTTCCACAAATTTTGTTGAAACAGGTAAAGTCGAAGACAGCCATTCATAAGTTCACATGCTGCGAGAGTGATTCTGACTTGGTTCAAGAACGAATCGTTACGGTTGATGAGGGTTTCTCTCACCTCATTAAAGATGAGCAGGTGCGTTGAATTACTCTGAGTGGGAGACATACAAGTACTTTTAAAATATAAACAGAACTTAACGTTTTGAACGTCGCCACCCCACAGCTGTTTCTTATCGTTGCTACCTTCACTGGCACCAACCGATCTCGTTAAATTACTGGATACCTTGTGTTGTCCACCTTGTGACATTCTTGTTACATCACGACTGTATCAGACTTGTTAGAACAACCTTGTAACAAGCTTATCAACTTGTTCCAAACTTGTTACAACAACTGGGAACAAGCTGTGCGAACACAACTTGTCTACAACTTGTGAACAGATTTGTAACAACTTGTTTGCAGACCTGTAACAACTTATTCGTTTTTACGTGTGTAGATGCGCGATGTGTTTAAAGACATTCTAGGGGAGTTGCTGGATCAAGGACAGATCACACAAGCACGAAGGTTATCGCAACTCTTTGGTGTCTCGACTTCAGACCTTGACATTGTATTGGTGAGAATATTCTTTTTATCCATTGTGTGATTTTTGGGCGGTGACTAAAAAAGGTTATATTTATGTGCGTTCTAAAGAGGGTTGATCGTAATTTATAACCAATAAAGGATAGCTCTGAACCTCTAGAAGAACAGTTTAGAAATGATAGATGTATCCAATCTAAATAAAGTTATTTTATTTTGTTTTGTCTTGAAGTAACACTAGAGCAATAAAGAATGGGCCTTTTTGGAACTCTAGAAAAAAACAGAGCAATCCAGCTAAATAGAATTAGTTTAGTTATGTAGGATCGTGTGATCAAGAAAATTAGTTAAGGCTGGTTTATATTATATTATCAAAGTTTCTGTGTTTTCACAGCAGAAATTTTGCATAGATAAATTCTAAGTTTTGAAGGATTTGTAAGAAATGTTTGAGGGAATGACTCGGTAAACAATACTGAGTGAGTTCCCTCAAACATTTCTTACAAATTCTTCAAAACTTAGAATTTACCCATTCAAAATTCCTACTGTGATTACAGAAACTTTTTATAGTGTAAACCAATCTTTAGTTCAAAGATGAGAAATAATATATTATTTTAACCTGTTTTAGACATGCATCTTTCTGGCACAAGAAATTCTTAACCCAGACTCGTTAGATGAGGAGATCAAAGCTCTGTTAGTTCGCGAAGACAAACCAACGCTTTCCAACAGTTTGAGATCAAGTGAGGATACTTTCCTTGGCAGCCTATGTCAAAGTATACAGTCAGGTCACGCTGATACGATTGGCTCATATGACGGCATGTCGTCGTGGACAGTGATTAGTGATAATTTAGCAGCCATGGAAAATCTCGCGCAATCTTGTGTTTCGGGAAGGATTTGTTGTTCCAGGGTGATTGTTGGTTATAAAATTTGTCAGGTAAGAGAAGCTTTTTCTTGGGCGTGTTTTTCTAACTTTATTTATACTGGATTGCTGTATCTGTTCTGAACTGTCCTCCCTAGAAGTCAGTAAGGATCATCTCTTATTGATCCAGTGTTACTACAGGAGGAAACCTAAACTAAACTAACTTTATTTATACTGGATTGCTGTATCTGTTCTAAACTGTTCTCCCTAGAGGTCCAGTAAGGATCATCTCTTATTGATCCAGTGTTACTACAGGAGGAAAACTAAACTAACTTTATTTATACTGGATATCTCTATCAGTAGTTCTAAACTGTTCTTTCTAGAGGTCCAGTAAGGATCATCTCTTATTGATATAGTGTTTGCTCAAAGAGGGGAAAGGTACTTCCAACCACTGTATTAGTAATTCTAGTTTTGTCTGTCTGTTATTTAGACGTTGGTTCTTGGCTTTGATAAAGTGGTTTGTTCCGATCCAGTTGAGCTGTTATGTAAATTGCTTGAATCTGCATTGGACCAGCGATATCAGTTAGCCACGCAGTATATCAAGGCTTTCAATTTGGATTCCGAAATGGTAATGTTGATGGTGGTGGCAGTGGTGATAATGGTAGTGTTGGCGATGTTGGTGATGATGGTGAGGATGGTGGTGATGGGATCGTGGTGATGGTGATGGGATCGTGGCGATGGTGATGGTATGATGGTGATGGTAGTGATAGTAGTAATGATGTTGGTTATGATGGTAGTGTTGGTGATGATGATGGTGGTCGTGATGTTGGTGGTGATGGTAGTGGTGGTGGTGATAATGGTGGTGGTGATGATAGTGACAATGTTGGTGGTGATGATGGTGATACGGTGGTGGATTTTGATTTCGTATATTTTCTCCATTATCCAGATTGCGAAGTTTGTTGCGAAATCCATCACAATGTCTCTGACCGTGTACACCGGATCAGGTAGGGGCCTAGGGCCGAGTGATGCATTCAACCAAACTAAACTACCCTAACTTTTTACAAGATATCTCTTCACTTTGTTTCAGCAATTCAAGAAGAAAAAGTTTTCATTTTCAACCCAACCTCAAAGGAAGACATGGACAATGTGACCAGTCTGACAGAGGACAAACTCGTGCTTGGTGGATTTTTATTTGATGAAGCTTTACTGCTCGCTAAGAATCGTAAACACAACAAACCGAGCTCATCTGGTTTGTATAGTTTCCTTTGAGTAACCAGGATTTATTATCTTTATTACTTGCAGTAGTTGAAAAACTATATATCAGGATTTTGTATTGAACGTTTTCCAATCCTTTAAGTAACCAGGATTTACTATCTTTATTACTTGCAGTAGTTGAAAAACTATATATCGGGATTTTGTATTGAAAGATTTCCAATACAATCACGGCATCTTTCAAACAAAGAATACGAGGAAACGTGATCGCCATGCGAACATAGAAACAACTACTTATTGTTCAATATAATCCCATTCCTCACTGTATTCCCATCTTATTTCAGCGCTAGCAATGGAAGTGGAACTGTTGATCATTGCACATCACTGTCAAACTCTAGCTTGTAACACCGAAGGAATATCATCAATTTTAAAACTGGCTCAACTCTGTACACACGCTCTAGCAGAAGCAAACGAATATCAGCAAATGGTAAGATATCTTTATATTGATGCCCTTGCTTGACATCTAGGAAGAACAGTTTAGAACTGATAGAGCTATGCAGTATAAATAAAGTTAGTTTACTTTAGGTTTCCAACTGTAGTTACTCTGGATTAACAAGAGATAATCCTTACTGGACCTCTGGGAAGAACAGGTTAGAACTGATAGAGCTATGCAGTATAAATAAAGTTAGTTTGTTTAGGTTTCCTCCTGTAGTAGCACACTGTACCAACAAGAGATGATCCTTACTGGACCTCTGAGGACAGTTTAGAACTGACACAGCTATCTGATAGAAATAAAGTTTGAATTTTTTCAGGCTCGGCTACTGACGGGGATTGGAAGATTTTCGGAAATGACATATATTTTCCAAGCATTGATGGACCATCATCATTTTGAACTGTTGGTCAAGAAAGGTGTTGATAATGTAAGTATTGCTGTTCTGGTGGTTGTCATGGTAGCAGACTGGCAGTACTTGTGTTGTATTGTTGTAACACCATAAGTCATAACAAATATCATATGCCATACCATACCATACCATATACCATACCATGTACCATGCCATCTTAACCAACAGTTCAAATCTATCAGTAATTCTATACTGTCACGTGCTTACCCTCATTAAATAAAGTTTTCATTCATTTCAAGTTTTCATACCATACTATACCATACCATACCATATCATATAGCTAATCACAATTTATCTTTCCTCTTAAACATTTTCCCAGGAGAACAAATTAAAAATCGCGTTACTCAAATACTTGGACAAATATTACTTAGACGACACAGAAAAACATCTTTTGGTAGCGTATCGTTTTAGCATGCACCGTGAGGTTGCCGTTAGCTTGGAAACATCCGCTGATTCACAAGTGTACAAGCTTGTCCAGAAAGGATTGGGTAAGGTTTAGAGTAGTAATATTTTCCTCTAGGGAGAACAGTTTAGAATTGATAGAACTAAAGTAAGTTCGTTTAGTTAAGGTTTCCTCCTGTAGTAAGACTAAATCATGATGGAAAGCCTTGCTGGACATTTGGAATAGAACTGATAGAACTATCCAGTATAAACAAAGTTAGTTTAGGTGTCTTCTTGCAGTTCTTGTAGCAACACTGGGGCAATAATGGAAGGTCGTAGCAGACTTCTAGGAAGAACAGTTTAGAACTGATCCAGCTATCCAGTTAGTATAAACAAAGTTCAGTTTTACAGTGTCGCATTGGACTCATTGCTATAATCTTCTTTCCACAGGTGCAACGAATGAAGTGCGCACTCAACTTGTTTCCATCGCCCAAACGTATACTTATGCAATGGAAAATTTCAAAGAGGTAATTATAGAAGTTGCTATACATGTACTACTTGGAACCATTTACACGTTTCTTAACTGATTTTATAGTTGATAGCCTTACCATTTCCAATCTGTTCTCCTTAACAATGCCTTGTTGATCCAGTGTTACTACAGGAGGAAACCTAAACTAAACTAACTTTATTTATACTGAATAGCTCTATCAGTTCTAAACTGTTCTTCCAAGAGGTCCGGTAGGGATCATCTTTTATTGTGCCAGTGTTATTACAGGAGAAAACCTAAACTAAATTAGTTTTATTTATACTGGATAGCTCTATCAGTTCTAAACTGTTCTTCCTAGGGATCATCTCTTATTGATCCAGTGTTATCACAGGAGGAAACCAAGCCATAACAGCCGTACGTCAATAAAATCAAACTCTAAACAAGTACAAAATATTTGACTTGCCAGGAAGGGTGTCTCCTCCAAGCATTGGAATGTGCGAAGAAGCATCGTCTGGTCGAACTACAAAAATATCTTCTACCAACAGGCATGGTGATCTTGGACCTAAGCGACAAATCTCTTGCAGAATTTTTGGCAAAGTACAACAACTTTTTTGAAGCGTATATCGTTGCTGATGCGTATAACAAAAGGTCGCTTGACGTTTGGGTCGAGCCGCTGTTCAATCATGTTATTTTAAGAGGAGATTTTAAATATCTTAACGAAATTTGTAGCGTTTTTCAAATGTCGAACACCATTTTGTCTCAGTTGGTTGTAAGGTAAGAATGTTTGTTTTCTTGTCGTCTTGTTTACTTGTTTTGCAAAACCAAAACTTTTTGTACTGGATAGCTCGATCAGTTCTAAACTGTTCTTTCTAGAGGTCCAGTAAGAGTCATCTCTTATTTGTCCAGTGTTACTACAGGAGGAAACCTAAACTAACTTTATTTATACTGGATAGCTCGATCAGTTCTAAACTGTTCTTCCTAGAGGTCCAGTAAGAGTCATCTCTTATTGGTCCAGTGTTACTACAGGAGGAAACCTAAACTAACTTTATTTATACTGGATAGCTCTATCAGTTCTAAACTGTTCTTCCTAGAGGTCCAGTAAGAGTCATCTCTTATTGATTCAGTGTTACTACAGGAGGAAACCTAAACTAAACTAACTTTATTTATACTGGATAGCTCTATCAGTTCTAAACTGTTCTTCCTAGAGGTCCAGTAAGAGTCATCTCTTATTTGTCCAGTGTTACTACAGGAGGAAACCTAAACTAAACTAACTTTATTTACACTGGATAGCTTTATCAGTTCTAAACTGTTCTCCCTAGAGGTCCAGTAAGAATCATCTCTTATTGATCCAGTGTTACTACAGGAGGAAACCTAAACTAAACGAACTTTATTTATACTGGATAGCTCGATCAGTTCTAAACTGTTCTCCCTAGAGGTCCAGTAAGAGTCATCTCTTATTTGTCCAGTGTTACTACAGGAGAAAACCTAAACTAAACTATAACTTTATTTATACTGGATAGCTCTATCAGTTCTACACTGTTCTCCCTAGAGGTCCAGTAAGAATCATCTCTTATCGATCCAGTGTTACTACAGGAGGAAACCTAAACTAAACTAACTTTATTTACACTGGATAGCTCTATCAGTTCTAAACTGTTCTCCCTAGAGGTCCAGTCAATGTAAGGGGTATTTTTTCAAAATTGATACTGAAATATTTTTCCATAGGTATCGTTCGGAATTGCAGCGTAATTCAACAGCCATGGTGAATATGAAGAAAGTAATGCGTTGTGAGAAGGACGTGATATGTAGGTATAAACTCGCAGTTGAACTCGGATATAAAGACGAGATTGATGCTATAAGACAGAGCGAGGCTGGGGCACTGGTACGAGACAGCTGTCGGTAACATATATCGCCATTGCAGGGAAGGCGGTCGCTACGTCACACAAGCCGGGGTTTTTGCGTAAAAAAGCGATTCATAATTTACGAATTCCACATGAGTTTTTCCTGTATTGGATTTTTACCTGCTCTTCAAACCCAGTGCAATAGAAAACCAAAAATGCATTGGATTTTTAAACTTTTCAACGTTAAAGCACAGTTAATATTAACTGTGGTTAAAGGCAGTTGTATGTTGGACATGCAGAAAAAAATCAACGAGCTGTCCTCCATCTTGGATTATTCAGGATAATTATGCATATCTTGGCAACCAGTGACCAATATAAGCCGAAGACTCATTTTTGACTGCTATTTCAAAGCTCTCTGGCTGTATTTGGCTAAAAGCCTCGATATTGAACTCTTACATAAATAATTTCATATATACACACTCAAAAGTCAAATGCAATTTTGAACTCAAGCAAATTTGGGAACTATTTTAGTTGAGAATGGGCAATACACACAGACGATATTTATCTGAATTAAGAATTGAAAGAGAATATATTTGTACATATATTTTACATATATTAATTGTAATTGTAAATGTGGGGGAAATAAATCTTGATTTATAGTATAAATAAGATTCCTTGTTGGGTTTAACTGTTTTGCAAGAAACCATCTAGAGACCATCACAAAATCCGTTTAGAACTCACTATAGTATAGGGTTCGGGCCCCTGCCCCATTACAAGTGTATATAAATTTCACGCGCTGTTTCGCCTCACTTCACAAACAGAATAGAGTAAACATCTAGATATTCACATTGTCTTTGTCCAAATGTTAATGAATTCAACATGAACTGATTACTGGCCGGCATTATGTCGTTGTGATTCAAATCATGTTGTGATCATTTAAATCAACTGGATTTACAATACTAGTTGTTTACTTGTGTGTCATAACTTCTTGTTAATGCTTAGACTTACTGTTTATGAACAGTATCATTTGAAGTTATTCTGTCGACTGAGGATATAAGACATAAATCAATTCCGTCGCGTGTTCTAGAAATTTGGCCCGGTAAATCGGTAAGTCAAAATAAGACATTTGATTTTTACCTTGTATTATCCGAACATTGAAAAAGAGTCCGTGTTTATTGTGTGATATTATACAGAAATGCCTGTATAGTTTACTGAATATCAATAGAATGACACGTTGTTAGCTTGAATAATTAGAATGTCGAAGTTATCAAGCTTTTTTTATTATTTTCACTATACCAAGACTGGCACAGATCGTCCAATATGCTTTAATGCTTTAATGAAATACTCCTGAAACAGTATTATACTACACTAGGAGAAAGACAAAGATTTTTTATTATTTCTACACTAAGATTATATGACCTTTGGGGCTGTTGGGATAACCTTGTTGCTTGCTTGGCTATATATCAAGCTGTAAACAATCTGGAACCATGCTTGTTGCAAACAGTGTGAACATTTTTTGTTTTTTTTACATGCTGACTGAGTTCAATACATCACTCAGTCAGATAAGACGTAGTTCAATAGCCATGAACAGACCAAACCAACTGCAAGTTAAAATTTTGACATTCTCAACGTACGTTCTTAGACTTACAGACATTTTGTGTTTGAATCAGGCTACTTTTCCACTATAACCGATAGATTTCCGTCGTGCATGGCGTGAAAAAGCGCCTATCTGATACGGAATGTACAAGTTTCAGAAGCTGAGCGAAACAACATCTCTCCGTTGCAATAATTCCTCGGAAAATAGCGTTCATAAAAGGTACTGATAGGTGTTTTTCACGTCGCTACGGAAATCTACAGTGAAACTGGTAGCTTGAGGCGCATAAAAATGTAATATGAACCCGCATGGAAATGTAATATGAACCCATATGTAAAGGTGAATGCAATCATGCATCAGACCGATCAGACTGCGTCACTATTCAATAACACTTCGATTCTTCGTGAACTGATAGCGAAATATGGAGCCAGAAACCTCCTACCCACAGGATAATAAGAAAGGTAGAGTAAATAGTACTAAAATGGCTGATAAGTGGATATTGCGCAGGATAAATTATGTTGAATTCATTCTTAGTGTATTATTTGTCCTTATGCAAGTTGCATGACTTATATACAGTATCTACATAATATGTGGGAAAATATCCTTATCTAGGCGTCATGGATGAAGTTACTGGAACTCCTTTACTAGAAATGAAAAGTTTGAACGGAGAGATGTCCATCAATAATCCTAACTTAAAGTCTAAAAAAAGTATGGTCATAAGTCCATTAATAAGGTAAGTTTTGAATCGTAATGTTGAACAATGTCATTATTGTCATATAGCTTTCTTATTACTACAAATTCAGTAACTTACTTATTTGCGCAAATAAAAATATTTCGTCTAATACGTCTGTGTATGGATCCGGTAACAAGACGGATCATTCAAATGGGGTCAAAGTGTTTCATAATTTAAATGGGGTCAAAGTGTTTCATTGATTTTTATGTCAACTCCAGGGCTGTCCGACGTGGTCTTCGTATGACAGAGAAATATCTGAACGAACAGAAAGATGTTGAGAAACTGAAAATCACCGACACAGATATAACTGGAAGAAATATCTTTCATCTCAGTGTTCAGCGAGAGGAATTGCTTGAGTTTGTGTTGGAGACGTTTGAAAAGGTTTGATTTTGAACTCACACCAGATCAGACGAATTCGAAACGTACGCATCTTGACCCGGTTGCGTTTGTTCATACGAGAATTCGCACGGTTAAAGCTGTAGCCGAATTCGCGTCGTTCCACGTGTACTGTGTAAAGAGAGGCTTAAAGGCTGATTTCCACTGTTGCGTTTTTCATACGTACGTATACGCACGTAAAACTTTAAATCCGTTTAAATGTTACTTAATGAAATAACCAAATAAATAAAGCAACAGACTTTAGTGTTCCGCAAGTTTTAGTATGCATTTATTAACTTATTTGTAAAATATTTAAAAAATAGAAGGATTCAAAGTTTTACGTGCGTGTACGTGCGTACGAAAAACGCAACAGTGGAAATCAGCCTTTAGGCACCGGCCTTTGCGTGGGCCGCGTGGATTAATTTGAGTGCCGCCCCGCGTGCGCTTAATGACGTAAACAAACCAAAGCGCCTGGGCACAGATGATGGCCTGGGTAGATCATCACGACGTAGATACGGGATAGCTTTCCGTAGCGACGTGAAAAAACACCTATCCGTACCTTTTATATAGGAACGCTGTTTTTACAGGAATTATTGCAACGGAGAGATGTTATTTCGCTCAGCTTCTGAAACTTGTACATTCCGTATCGGTTAGGTGCTTTTTCGCGCCGCTATGGAAGGCTATCTGGTGTAGTGTAAACCTAGCTTTAGTTTAGTGAATTATTTTCGCGTTATTTTGACATAAGAATCTTCGTTTTATAGCATGATCACCTGATTCAAGCGCTCCACAGTGAAGACGTGAATGGATATACTCCTGCTCATATTGCTGTCTTACATAATGAAAGAAAGGTAGCAAAGTATTGACGTCTTTCATAGCTCAGGAAACATGGCTGGGAAACAACATGGCTGGGAAACAATGTTTCCTGGTTTATCCGCCTTCTGGAAACATGGTTCCTGGTTTGCTATGCAGGATTTAATGCCACCTTAACTGATCCAATTTTTAGAGCATACACATGTTGGCTGGAGTGGACAAGAACATCTACACTATTCGCAGTACAAAGACTGGGCAGACATTAATCCATTGCGCAGTGGAGTCGTGTAATTCTTACATTGTACAAGATATCTTGGAAGCAAGACCTGATGCTTTGTATGACAAAGATAACGATGGAAAACCTCCACAGCATTACGCTGCCGCGTTAGAGGAGTGCTTCTTATTGGAATTCCTTCTCTCGCAGGGAGCTGATATTTTTGAGACGTGAGTATTTATAATATAAACTCGAACGGTCTGAAAAATACAAGTAAAACTTCGACATTTCAAGCGAAGGCCCTTCAATCTCAATTTAGTAAGTCGGTAAACTTCTGCAAGATCACTAGTAGCGAACTAACTTCCTTGGCCTGGAAGTAATCAAACTGTTGGAAACTGGCTTTTGCATGGCCGGAACCCGGATGATAGACTACTAGAAAGATTACTACAAAAATAGCGTTGAGATAATGAAAATAGATTAACTACAGCCTTGATCACTCGCTTCTCTCTAGTGACAAGAATGATTCCACACCACTCCACATGGCGGCAGACGCCGACTCGTTATCAAATGTCAAACTGCTGGTTCTGGACGAGGAAGATCTCTTGAGAACGGAGGATAATGAAGGAAGAACGGGTCTACACATTGCTTGCATGAATGGCTGCAGAAATATTGTGTCCTTTCTTCTTAAGAATGGCGCAGACCCGCTGGTGAAGATGGAAGGTGGACTGAATTGTTTGGAGGTGGCTGTGATGAACAAACAGGATGACGTAGTTGAGGAGTTGTTGCTTAGCGACCATTGGAAGGACGTGAGTGGAATGTACAGTTTTCTTCTTTCCGATATCACCATCATTACCAACATCTTCAACCACTACCACCAACACCACCATTATCATCACCATCATCATCACCACCATCATCATCATCATCACCACCATCATCATCATCACCACCATCATCATCATCACCACCACCATCATCATCACCACCATCATCATCATCACCATCATCATCACCACCACCATCATCATCACCATCATCATCACCACCACCATCATCATCATCATCATCATCACCACCACCATCACCACCACCATCATCACCACCATCATCATCACCACCACCATCACCATCACCACCACCATCATCACCACCATCATCATCACCACCACCATCACCACCACCATCATCATCACCACCATCATCACCACCACCACCATCATCATCACCACCACCATCATCACCATCATCATCATCATCACCACCACCATCATCACCACCATCACCATCATCACCACCTTCATCATCACCACAAACTTCACAATCACCTTTACCATCATCATCACCATCATCATCACCATCATCACTACTACCACCATTACAATCACCAGTATCGCCACCATCATTATGACCACTACCGTCTCCATTATCATTATTACACTACCTTACCACCATAATCATCAACACCATCTTAAATTACAGTAAACCCTGCGCACTAATTTATTTCCCACTTCAGCTGATCACTGAATGGAAGGGAGGACCAAAGAAATGTTTTGCATACCTGGTAAACAAGATGCCAGACAATGCCAAGATATTGTTAGATCGCTGTGTCGTCAAGAGCGACGATAAACCTCAATCGCTTGACTATCAAATAACATACGATTTTTTTTTGCTGGAGCCAACAGGTGTGTTTTTTGCTAAGACAAAAAGTCCCTAATAAGTGGCCTCCAAGGCGAACAGAAATTAAGAACTGTTGGAGCTATCCAAGTTTTACTTGAGTTGATATTGAAAATAGTAATTTTTAATTTGCTTTGATTTTTAAAGGTTCCAAACCACCCATGTTTGATGGCCTCCAAGCGATCATTGATAACAACGATGAACAATGTTTGACTCACAAACTCTGCAAGAAATATTTCAGCGTTAAATGGCGAGAAAAAGGATGTTATTTATATCTGACAAATCTTTTTATCTATCTTTGTTTTCATGTTTTGTTTAATGTTTATGTTGCGTTGGTTCGTGGTGCAATCGCACGTCGGAAGCTAGATGCAGAGAGTAAGTCGTTGGGTCCATTGGAGTATGTTTTGTTTTGTATTTAACAATTATTGAATTTAGTTTTCCCACGATATGAAGAATTATGAAGAACTTCGGCTTTTAAGACTGAGTTGGATAACACAAACTGAGGGCTTGATAATTATTTATATCATGCGAAAGCCAAATTCAGTAATTTTATTATCTATTTAAAAGATGAAATGATTAATTTGTTTCACTTTCAATAAATAACTATTTAATTTAATGTCTTTTATGAAAATATTTCTCTGAAAAAGATCCAGGCTTATGGATCGAATACTTTGTTAAATAAATCTCAGTGTTTTCCAAAAAACAAAACTGTTGTCGTTTAACTTTCCAGACACAGCACCCAGTAATGTTACCATGGTAACAAGCTCAAACTACGTCAAACCTGCCGCAAGACCTGACGAGGCCGGACCTATCGTTGCAACAGCCGTCATCGTCACTGTAACATTGTTCAATATTCTGAAAGAATTCTTGCAGGTATGACAAGTTATTGATACTTTTAATTTTTTTCTCTGGCAGCTCACCAGTAGCATCATCTAGCATTGGACAGATGTCATCTTTATTACCACTATCATACCATCATAATCTCCACCATCATCATCACCCTTACCGCCATCATCACCACCGTCATTATCACCACCACTATCACCATCATCATCATCACCATCATCATCACCATCATCACCACCATCATCACCACCACTATCACCATCATCACCATCATCACCACCACTATCACCACCATCACCATCATCACCATCATCACCACCACTATCACCACCATCACCATCATCACCATCATCGTCATCACCATCATATCATCACCACCACCATCATCATTAAATCATCATCACCATCATCACCATTATCATTATCATCATCATTAATTCATCATCATTACCATCATTAATTCATCATCATCTTCTTCTTCATCATCATTAATTCATCATCATCATCACCATCATTAATTCATCATCATCATTAATTCATCATTATCATCATCACCATCATTAATTCATCATCATCACCGTTTTTAATTAAATATTTTAAATAGTTTAGCGTGAAGATTCTCTAACTTCATTCCAGATGCATACCCAACGTTGGAGATATTTCAAACAATTTTCAAATCTATTCGAGTGGACGTTGTATGTTTGTGTGCTGTACTTTATGTTTCCAGTGAGGAAAACAAAAACTGAACGCCAGTTTGGGGCAGCTTCCCTAGCCGTCTGTATATCCTGGTTTAATCTCATCTGGTTCTTGAGACGAATTCCTGATATTGGCACTTACATTTTGACTTTGCAGAAAGTTTTTAAGACGCTGGTTAAGGTAAATGGGGTAGCTAATAACTAAATAAAACTCTATCAGTTCTAAGCTGTTCTCTCTACCAATATCACCATGATCAAGTAGTTTTCTGCTTGCCTGATGTGGATATCACTTAAAGAACATCACCCAAATTTTACGATATACACATTTAACAATCTCACAACTTGTCAACAAAATGTGTTCACAACAGACTTGTAGCAAGCTTGTCAACAAGTTGTAACAACGCTATTATTTTATCAAGTTGCTACAAGATTGTCACTCACAACTTATTGACAAATTATTGAATTGCAAATTATTGATTTACGTGGTGTTTCCACGAACAAAACTATTATATGTTTTATCGCCATGCAAACATACAAAGAACTTAATAACAAGTTGTGAGAACAACTTGTAAAAAGTCTGTTGATCTCGACAACCTTGTAGCAAGTTGTCAACAAACTGGGAATATAATAGTTTTGTTTGTGGAAACAGCACGTACATTTATTACTGCAAAGCTTTCGATCCGTAAGCCCGGATCTTCATCAGTGCTAATAATATGATAACTAAAATAAAGTGCTAATAATATTATTAGTATTAATAATATGATTTATCGCCATGCAAACATACAAAGAACTTAAACTGGGAATACTATAGAAAATCCATAGTTTAACAATAGATCCTTTTCATTTTCAGATGCTTTTGCTCATCGTGTTATTCTGTATGGCATTTGCATCAACGTTTTATCTCCTGTTTGCGGAGCAAAGGAGATTTGAAAACTACCCGATTTCAGTTCTAAGTACATTCGTATCAATGTTGGGCGATTTCAGCTACGATGATTTGTTCGTCGAAGTTGGTTATTATAAAGATTTTTATAATTTTAAAATTGTTATGTTTATCGTGTTTGTTCTACTTATGGTGGTCGTTGTGAACAACGTCTTGATTGGCTTGGCTGTGGGCGACACGGAATATGTCATCAGTATGGCTAAAGTGCAAAGATTGAGACAACATGTAAGTTGGGAAATTGACCTGACTTCATTTATACTGGATAGCCCCATAAGCTGTATTGCCTTCTCTTACAGTAGTAAGTGTTACTGAAGGATAAAACATAAACTAAATTAACTTTATTTATACTGGGCACCTCTTATTATTATAAACTGTTCTCCCTGGGCGTCCACAAGGAGGAAACCTTAGCTAAACTAATATTATTAGAGTTCTAGTACACACGTAAAAACAGCAGACTTGTAGCAATGCTGTTTCAACAACTTGTCAACAGGATATGTTCAGACTGCTTGTTCCAAGCTTGTTGACAAGTTGTCAATGGCTTGTTCACAACTTGCTACAAGCTTATTGAGCTCAACAGATTTGTTACAAGTTGTTCTAACAACTTGTTATCTTCCTGCAATTCAACAATTTGTCAACAAGTTGTGAGTGACAACCTTGTAGCAACTTGATAAGATAACAGAATTGTTACAACTTGTTGACAAGCTTGCTGCAAGCATGTTGCGAACACATCTTGTTGTGGCCTTAATTGGACAAACAGTACCAATTTTCCTCTTCACCTAACACCTCTAAAAGAGCATTTCAAGGCGGCAATATAATTATCTATAAATCTAATTTAAAATATAAATGCTGTCTTGTAGATGAAATTTATAATGGAAGTTGAATCATCACTGTTTAGTAAACTACCATGCTTCAAAAGAGAGAAAGGCACGACGCACACAGAGCACCCTAACCACAAGAAATCGTGGGCGGACAATCTCAACCGACTTTTGGCTGGTGAAATGAACACGTTTTATAACGAAGATGATGAAGGTGATGATGAAGGTGGCGATGATGTTCTGACACAGGAGAAAATTGAGGAGATGGTGCAAACGAGGCTGGAGAATTATCATAAGAAAATGATGCAAGAGTTGAAAGATTTTCATTCGGACATGGTGGAGAAATTGGGGGAGATGGTCAATTGAACAATCTTTTGTATTTATTTTGATAGCTGTAGTTGAAACGATCAAAACTTGCACATATATACGTATACACATAGGACGTTGGATGTCATAACAATTAATTTTAAGGTTAAAACACAAACAGAATTTTGAAATGCTTTAGTTTCTTAGCAAAGTTCGTTTGGGTTTTCTTCCTAATTTAAAGGATTGTTCAATCAGTTCGTCTGGTGTTATACTAGTTCGAATTTTGCCTCCGTGTTGTTCTGTTGTTAAAAAAGCAAAAATGGTAAGTCTACTTTTCTGAGTTAAAAATCTTACGGAAAGTTGGGTGACATAGTAAAGTCTCTACTTATATCAGAGAGATCTTATAATGTTGACGACTTGACGTTCATAATTTGAATTTGAAAGGGTTCACTTTTTTTTTGAGACACACTGCAGTATGAGGGTTTGGGCCCCTGCCTTTACAAGTGCATATAAATTTCACGCGCTGTTTCGCCTCACTTCACAAACAGAATAATAGGGTAAACATCTCCCAGTAAATATTCACATTGTCTGTCCAAATGTTAATGAATTCATACATGAATTGATTACTAGCAGGCATAATATCGTTGTGATTAACTCTTTGTTAATGCTTAGTGTTTATGAACTGTATCATTTGAAGTTATTTTGTCGACTGAGGATATAAGACAAATCAATTCCGTCGAGAGTTCCAGAAATTTGGCCCGGTAAATTTGGTAAGTCAAAAGAAATTATTTGATTTTGACATTGTGTTATATCAGAGCATTGAAAAATTGTGATATTATACAGAAATGCCGGCTGTAGTTTACTAAATATCAATAGAATCAGTAGAATGATGCGTTGTTAGTAGTCGAGGTAACATCAGCCGAGTGCCACTCGACATACTAATTATTTGAAGTCAGAGGTCTTCATCAGGGCTGCAAAATATAGCGGACAACAGGACCATTGGCATTGGTCCCAGATCATTTTTGTGGTTGGCGGAAAAAATGTATGGTAAACCGTAAAATGTAGAGAGTCTTAAAGGAGAGAAAGTGTATTTTTAATACCAATAATAGTGAGAATCCTACTTTACTTAGTTTACTGCAGTCATACACAAGGTCATGGATCAAGGCAAATGGTTAATTATAAAAGAACATAATCATAAAAGAATATATTTATTCGGTAGCCATGTGGAATAATATTAAAGGTCTATTTTCAACACCGAAGGCGAAGTGATGTCACTCAAATTTATTTAGTTACGATAAGGTTTTAAAAACCGTATTGGATTTGCTGTCGTTCACTTGCAGAAAATAAGATATATTTTGGGACAACCTTGGGCTTGGAACAACCATAATTAACATAACAGGTCTTCGCTCGAAAGAATGTCGACGTTCTTCCTGTGTTACACCCCTATCAATCCGAAACTACCTACACTGGCAGACAGTTCAAGATATAACCTTTGGGGCTGTTAGGCAACGTTGTTGCTTGCTTGCGGCGCCTCCGGCTATTTCAAGCTGCACGTAAACAAGTTGGAACCATGGTTGGCCAAACAGTATGCACATTTTTGGGTTTTTTACATGCTGACTGATTTCCGCAACATCACTCATCAGATAAGACGTAGTTCAGTATAGCCTGCATGAACAAACTCCAAGTTAAAATTTTGACATTCTCAACGTACTTTGTCAGCCTTCGGTTAATTGCCGGTCCGCAAGAACGATTACAGACATTTTGTGTTTGAATCTGGCTACGTTTGAATGAGATTTATGACGATTTAAAACGCTTTCAGTACAATATTCAAAATACAATACGTTGCAATGATAAAATACGCGAGGGTTCAAATTCGCGAGGGGAGTCTAAATCCGCTAGCGAATAAAGATCCCCATAGGTCCATATTCGCTAGCGGATTTGGACCGGGGGATCCAAATCTGCTGGGACACCGGATAGCTTTCCGTAGCGGCATGATAAAGCATCTATCCGATACGGAATGTACAAGTTTCAGATGCTGAGCGAAACAACATCTCTCTGTTGCAATAATTCCTTTGAAAATAGCCGTTCCTAAAAGGTACGGATAGCTGTTTTTTTTCACAGCTTGAGGTACTTCGCATAAAAAATGAAATATGTAAATGCAAATCCCGCATGGAAATGTAATATGAACCCATCAAAATGTCAAACGTATACTGTGGCAAACTGTGAATGCAGTCGTGCATTCGGACTAGGAAAGAGCACTGTCGCACAGACTGCGTCATTATTGAATAACACTTCGATTCTTCGTGAACTGATAGCGAAATATGGAGCCAGAAACCTCCTTACCACAGGATACTAAGAAAGGTAGAGTAAATAGTACTATAAACATGGCTGATATAAGTAGATATTGCGCGGGATAAATTGTGTTTAATCACAGCCCCCTGGTTCAATTCATTCTTATCCTGTATTATTTACGTCGTATTTCGGTATTTATATTAGACGATTTGTAATATAACTACGGCCTTTTAATAAGTACTTCACTGTATAACAACGGACTTTACTTTTTCTTGCACTTTTGCTGAAATGATCTTTTCGTGTTTGCCTGTTTCAGCACATGAAGTCGGTTTCTTTGATTGTCCCAGGGCGCTGTGTTTTATTACGCCCTGATTGTCCAAATGCAAGTTGCGTGATTTATACAGTAAACGTAATATCTGAAGTATATGTCTGAAAATATTCTTCTATAGGCGTCATGGATGAGTCTGCCGATGAGACCAATGGATCTCCTTTACTAGAAATGAAAAGTTTTAACGGAGAAAAGTCCATTAATAATCCCAAGTCTAAAAAAAGTATGATCATAAGTCCATTAATAAGGTAAGTTTTGAATCGTAATGATGAACAATATCATATAGCTTTCTTATTACCACAAATTCAGTAACTTACTTATTTGCGCAAATAAAAAATATTCTGTCTAATACGTCTGTATGGATCCGGTAACAAGACGGGTCATTCGAGACACAGAGTTTAAATGGGGTCAAAGTGTTTCATTGATTTTTATGTCAATTCCAAGAGCTGTCCGACGTGGTCTTCATATGACAGAGAAATATCTGAACGAACAGAAAGATGTTGAGAAACTGAAAATCACCGACACAGATATAACTGGAAGGAATATCTTTCATCTCAGTGTTCAGAGAGAGGAATTGCTTGAGTTTGTGTTGGAGACGTTTGAAAAGGTTTGATTTTGAATTCACACCAGATCAGACGAATTCGGAATGTACGCATCTTCACCCGGTTGCGTTTGTTCATACGAGAATTTGCACGGTTAAGGCTGTGGCCGAATTCGCCTTGTTCCAAGTGTCCCGTGTAAGGAGAGCCTTAGGCTACGTTTACACTCTACCGAAAAGCTTTCCGTAGCGACGTGAAAAACATCTATCCGTACCTTTTAGGAACGCTATTTTCAGAGGAATTATTGCAACGGAGATGTTGTTTTGCTCAGCTTCTGAAAGTTGTACATTCCGTATCGGATAGGTGTAAACCTAGCCTTAGTGAATTATTTTCGCATTATATTGACATAAGAATCTTCATTTTATAGCATGATCACCTGATCCAAGCACTCCACAGTGAAGACGTGAATGGATATACTCCTGCTCATATTGCTGTCTTACATAATGAAAGAAAGGTAGCAAAGTATCGACGTCTTTCATAGCTCAGGAAACATGGCTAGGAAATAATATTTCTTGGTTTTCCCAGGTTTTCGAGTGTCCTTCAGGACAGGGGCTTGCGTTTGTGATTACCAAATGTTTGGGAAACATGGCTTAGAAACAATGTTTCCTGGTTTATCCATGCACCTTCTTGAAACATGGCTGGGAAACACTGTTTCCTGGTTTGCTATGCAGGATTTAATCCCGCCTTAACTGATCCAATTTTTAGAGCATGCACATGTTGGCTGGAGTGGACAAGAACATCTACACTATCCGCAGTACAAAGACAGGGCAGACATCCATTCCGCAGTGAAGTCGTGTAATTCTTACATTGTACAAGATATCTTGGAAGCAAGACCTGATGCTTTGTACGACAAAGATAACGATGGAAAACATCCACAGCATTACGCTGCTGTGTTAGAGGAGTATTTCGTGTTGGAGTTCCTTATCTCGCAAGGAGCTGATATTTTTGAGACGTGAGTATTTAT